ATCATCCTCCTCAATGGTCGACGTTTCGAAAGAGAAGCCTGGCATTATGCACTCGAATTTCTAGTAGTCAATGGACCTTGGTACTTGGACCAAGGATTTCAGACTTCGCAGTAGCATCCTGTGCCAAGAGTCCGTCCGAGAAAGGCGAGCAAGTGCACGACATCAAATGACGCTCAAAGTAAACGATGACGGCGGGGCAAACAAAAGCAAGAAGACCACGAACTCTTGGAAATCCTCCCCCGAAAAAATACCCCACGATGCAACCAATCGCCCTCACATCCCAAAAAAGTCACATCCCCATCCCAACATCCTCCCGCGCAAGAAAAGCCCCCCTCGAAATCCATAAATACATCTCCCATACCCAAATCAATCCTCAAACCTGTATCCTACGAAAAAGCCCCAGCCACCCATCTTTCCAGCGTTCAAAAATATCAAATAAATTCCCCCAAAAAATCATATCGCACTTCCATACACGCGAGGGCGCACTAACGATCGACATACACCGGCAGAAATTCCCCCTACGACGAAGGTTCCATTTTTGAGGGCCATGGCTGTAAAACAATGTCAATTTCAGCAGCTTTCCTCCTCGCCAAGAGGAGTTGAACCCGGGTCCATGAAAGTCCACCGCGGGATTTACTGCCGTACCAGTGAACCCCCGAGCCCCTTTCATCGCCTGGCGCCCAGGAAGGTGGAAAAAGGTATCCAAAAAAAATTCAAGCGAGTTCGTGACGAAGTCAGGTAACGTCCAAGGCGAGCGATAACGCCGTTGACATAACGTCACGGCAACGGAGCGACGCAGCCCGAAACGATCCGGAACAGTAACGGGGATTGCGAGGGCCGTCAGGTCGGCGAGCGATGCCAAGAAGAGGGCCTCTCCGGTCGCGCCCATAAATCTGTCGCGATCCTAATGCAAGAAGGAACAGGACGGTGCACTTAGGGGCCGAAATGAAAATCGATATATCGCGGTGGGGAAATCGTCTAGGAGCGACGAACACCCGAGAAGGTAGCTCCGTACCGTTTGTCACTTCAATTAACCGACTCGCCGGCTTCGTGTAAACCCGGACCCGTACAGACTGCCCGGTTTCCCCGTAAATTACCCCGGGAGCTTCTAACGTCCAATTAATCATCGTAATTTCCGTAACTTGCCACGCTGATTCACGCCTAGGAGAGCGCCATTGCCCCGGAAAACCGAGCTTCTCCAGGAAGCCTCCTACAAGTGGTCGAAGAGGGGAAAAAGTGACGATAAGAAGTGCACCTCGACAAGCCTTATCTAGAGTGCATCGACAGGTCCTAAAAAGGGGATTAGAAATACTGGCAGACGGTTCAGTCCAAACCAGACCGATAGACATCGTTTCTAGAATTTTTTTCTTTTTCCTCAATTTTAGAGCCAAAGCACGTGACCGAAGCTTAAGGGGACGTGAAAGTGGCATCCGAGGTGGCGATCGTTAATGGAGCTTTTTTTCCGAACTCAGTGTACCGAATCGTTTCAAACCCTACAACGCGAATGCGGAGGCTATAAGGAAGATCCTGAAACCCATGAAATTTCATTTTTAATAAAAAAAAAAAAAAACATTGAAAATACCTATAAGCAAATTTTTCAGCAATTCAAATTTCATGGGTGTCAGGACCATCACCTTAGCCCTCACGTTTATCAAACTTCCCCACTTTTATTTTGTCTTGTTATGTTTAGAATTTTCGTGGATAGAGAGTGCCGATGTGGAATTTTTCAAGTACCCGATATCTGACATTACGGGGATGAAAATTGGAACGAGGGCCTTTCTGATCGCTCCTTTTGGGACTTTCTCGGTTAATTACCCCTCCTAGGGTTTTAACATGGGAACGCGACGTTCGGTCTCCTTTGGTCGGCACTTTCGGCTGTAAAGTTGGACAGTTAATGCCAATAATGCGAGGCTCGTCGAAGCGGATACGACGAGCCGCAGACGACGTCGAAACGACGTGGAGTCTGGAAGGCGCCCAGGGGCGTTAAATAGAACTTTTCCGAGCTTTTCCAGGTCTTGCTCTTGTTGCAGCCGGCGAAGAATAGAGAGCTTTTATAGCCGCGGCAATTATTAGAGCTCGAAGCCGACCATAGGCGATTCCCTCGGTCGAGCAAAGGCATGGAGGGAAAAGGGGCGAGAAAAGAAGAAGCTCCGAGCATCGGTGGTATAGGTTCTAATACCGACGACAAAAATACCCGGGGGAGGCGCTAATGTGATTACAAAACAGACGTCGATGTGTATTTCTAGCGATTCCTGGCTCGGGAACTCGCGAAACCCGAGGCTTCCTTGCAGTCGAATAGGAGCGAGGAAGCTGTCGGAAGTCGAGATTGACCATTAATCGTATAAATAACGCACCGAAACGTAAACACCGGGAATACTTAACCGGTCCAGGCCTTCGCGAATCTCCCCTCTAAACGGCGAAATATCCGGCGTCTTTAATTACCCGGAATTAACAATAATCCCCAGAAATGTACGTGCCTTACACATAAAAGTCTAAATTTACATCTGGATCATCGGAGCACGATCGCCGCTCTCGAAGCGATATATTATATAAAAAATACCCCGTGGATGAATAAAAAGTTAAGTACATAAAATAGGGGATTGAGGTAACGAGGTGAATTTCGAATTTCGGCCAGAGGTATATGTAACAGCTGGCGAGGCTTTTTGGGGCACTTCCCATAATCTCCAATTCCACGTGGAGGGGTCTCTCTCTCTCTCGAGGACGCTAAAAATCAATTTAGAGCATCAAAACACGACCGCCCGTCTAGAGGTTCGAGGTTTCGGAAAATATTGCAGAACTCTTGGCAGGGGTCCGCGCATTGTCTCGCCGAGGGGTTCGAAAATGGCGAAAGAGCCTAAGGGCGCGGAGGATCTTGCCGATCGCCTAGCTCGGCAAGTTCGACGACCGTCTCCGTCATCTTCCACCTGTATCTCTTTTCGGGAGTTCGATAGCGATCCGGAGAAGTGATTCCCGAGGGCGAGTCGGCCCGGCCTCGGCGCTAATTTTATAAATTCCGGGATCTTCGATCCCCGCCGACCTGGCGGCAGAATTTCACCCCGAACTTCGAGAACCTTTCCTCGGGCCTCCGAGAAGGAGCGGCTTCGCCGAATTGTCATCGCTCGAGAATACGCTCGTAGAAATAGAGATAGAGAAAGAGGAGAAGAGAGGAGAGGCCCTCGTCGGCGAGAAGACACGGTCCATCGAAAGCGCATTAAAAGCGGCCGAGAATACATTCTCTACTCGGCTGGTCGATACGCCATCCACTTAAGACGCCCAAATTATCCGTTCGACTTTGTACTCGACTCGAATCGACGGCTAGAAGGCACTCTCTCTCTCAAGAGAGAGCCGCCGATCCGGGATAATAATTCCTCATCGGTTCCCAAAAATATTTACGAAACGACCGAGCCCTCCACCTCCTGCCGCCCCCTCTCAAACATCGAGAATTAATATCCCCATCAATTTTCCCCAGCCGGTGCAAGGTATGGTTTTCCCGGATCAGTATAAATCGACACCGTCGGGTCCGTTTCTTCGTGAAATCATCCGGTAGACGTTTCGGGTGCGCATAAATCTCCCAGATAAATATAATTTTTACATAGACATCGCCGAGAGATCGGTGCTGACGCGAGCGGCGGACCGCGCGTGTCATGAAAAAAAAAAAAAAAGAAAGAAAAACCGCGTCGCGGAAAAAGAAAGAGCGATTCTTAGGGCCCACGAGTGAAAGGAAACGCTTCATCAGTTTGCGGGATACCTGGGGCCGACATAAGACGATAACGCGGATAAGCGGACGGAGCGATCGGAAATCTCCGTCGGAAAAGAGCGTCTCCCATCCGGCCGGTCGGTGCCGTCCTGAGGTCCGCGGTTCCCCGATGGCGGTCCCCGTTGCCAATTCTAAAAGCGTCTTTGACAATGACGTAAAATCCCGGCAAATCGCGCGCGATGTTTCCGCCGGTCGGCCGCGTTCTCGGCCATCCAGGCGGATCTTTCGCCGCGGAGGAAGCTTTCCGCGTAGCGGAAAACGGCGAGCACCTTTGCTTCCCTCCTGCTCTGCCGCCGATTCCTCTCGAGATCTATTCCCGGACCACCGCGTGCACTTTATAAGCCCCGGAGGAGTCGCCCACGTTAGGGATATAGAGGAGGAAAAAGAAGATGATAACAGCCAGGCCGTCCGGTACGGTTTGATAAAGAGGAACACCCGATAGCGGCAGTAAGCGACTAAACGATTTCGGGCGGACTTTCCATGAAAGTCAGTAAAACCAGGGAATCGACTCCTCGATTCCCTCATCGGGCCTGATTAGGTTCCTAGCTACTTCGATTCCACTAATTTATGCGCTGGAAAAAATTCATCCCCCTCCAAGTCAGTTATCCTCGGTCGCAATAAGAATGGCACTTTAACGGGCGACCGAAAGAAACTTGTTTAAAAGAGCTATCAAAAAGCCTAAAGGTATATAACACCCTGGCGGTTAAGAAGTTGGGCAAGACCAGACGCGAGGACAGTGATTGACACCCGGACTTTTTATCGGCACCTGCTCTTGGAAAATCGCCCTCTCATTCTGCACCAAGAAGGGAGCTGGTCGTTTCAAGGAATGCCTAAAAAAGAGCAGCGGATCAGGTGGCAGTGTCAGGGTTTGACAGATTGGTTGGCAGGGACGGACGCGCCGAGGTGGTGAATAAAAATGACATGTCATTGCTAGAAGGTCGCGACGACTTGGGAGTTCCTTGCCGGACGTTATTCAAGGACGAAGGTATATAAAATAAGCTTTCCCTTGGTACCCGAAGATCTACTACTCATGGCTAAATAGTTCCCCAGCTTTCTACATCCAGTCCTCGGAGACTAATCCACCTCACAGGGTTCATTCTTTAAGAGGTATCGATACCTTAACCCTCTTCGAGAAGCACAGTGGTCGCAAAGCCGGCTACCCAAAAAAGGGCAGACTTTGTAGGTAGGAATCTAGTTCCTAACGTCTGGTCCCTAAAGCGTCTAGTCTCTAGTTGTGACTTACTTCCTGGATCTTGTAGCTGGTGCGGATGGTCTTGCGCCTGGTGGTGGTCATCTCGTAGGTCTCCTCGACGGTCGGGGCGTCGTCGGCCTCGGTCGGCGACGCGACCGGACTGACGGTATCCATCACCTCCATCCTCAAGGGATCGGTCTTCCTCCCAGGGCCTCGGAATCTTGCGGCACTCGCGGACACCACCTCGCTCCTTCTTGCCACCAGGACTCGCAGGACACGTTACGCAACTCGCAGGGCACCGTATCTCCTCTTCCTCCGACGGGACCGCGTGCGCCTCGGTCCCCGGACTCGTTGACTGAAACCTCGGGTTCTCTGTCCGCGACTATTCCGGGATCGTCTGCGCTTAACGAAGAGACTGGCCGGACTAACCGGAGGAGAGCGGTCGCGGGTCCTCCGAAACCCGGCGTGCGCGTTCACGGCTAAAATAGAACCGCGGTTTTCCCTTAACTCGCGACGTTCGCGTCGATCCTGCCGAGACCGGACTCTCCTCGCCGCTTTTTCGCCTCCATTAATAACCGCATGGCCCGGCCACGTGTAAATAACCGCGGACTTTCTTAGCGGGCGCCTCGATGGGCACGTGTCGACGGTCCCATCGAGGCCTGTTGGGAGTCTTTTACGACGCTTTTATGAACCAGCTCGGTCCGGTCCAGGATCCGAGCCTGGTGCCGATTTCGCCGGATTTTCCTGGTCACGAGTTCATTCATGGGGCGCTCGCATTGTCGCGCGTCTCGAGATCAAAAGAAATACCTATATAGGTTCGTTACAATAGCGCTTGGCGAGTACAGAGTTAAATTTCTAAAAAAAATGTGTACACTTCTGTCGATAGAGTGGGGGATGGTTTGTTACTTGAAATTTGCAAAGATCGGTTTTAATGATAGATAGACCGGAGTCTTCTTCGTTCGAGGTAGACTTTGGGTATTCTGAGGTCTCAACTATGCAAAGCGAGTAAAAATCCACGGTCCAGGCTCGCGACTTCGCACTCTATGATTTTGCAACAGAATATTAAGATACGTTTCCCCGGTGTGCGTAATGAGCGCACGCACCGCTGAGATTTGTAAAGTTAAATGTACTGGACGAAAGTGACGGGGACAAATTGGAGGCAACAAGAAGAGTAAGAATCCCAAAGTCTCTATCGAATCAGGAGGGTACACCTGTTAGCTGTGTCACGGGCCGCTGGTTAGAGCGCACGGATGTCGGTCTTAACCCTCGGTTAAGTCCGAGTCGCGAGAAAGATGACGGGTCCAATGATCGAGTTAGATCGGCGCAACGTCATTCACATTTATATTTTCGTTAATTCACATAAGCGCGCGCGCGGTTCATGCGAATCGGAAAGTTCTTATAATACAAAATTGCGGGGCGAGGTGTAATACAACAGGCACACGATGCTTCCTCGGTATCAATAAAAATCGCTCAGGAAGGACTGCGACTAAACGGAACGATGTGACCCCCCTCGGTAAACTGTCCTGACTACAAATGGCAAGACGTTGTCAACGCGTACACGTAGTCTTTGACTCATGGCACTGTATCAAAATGACGATCACTAATAAACGCTAAATGCATCACAATGGTGTCGAACTTTGAGCATGTCGTACTTGCCGCGTTACGTGGAAGCGGCCAAACTGATACCCGAAAGGGACGATTTAACTCTAACCTGCATATATTAATAAGATATAGAATTAGAAAGTTCCGTCGATTCGTCGGTAAGGTCCGAACGAGCGTCGACGCCGTCCGTGACGTTCAACTTAATTAGTTCACTCGGCTTGTAAACTCCTACTTCCGTTATTATCCCGGTGATAAGGCTAGCAGGTGTTACATCGAATGCCGGATTCCAGCATTGTATCCCCGATGCAGCTATTCGTTGATCGTTTATATGCGTCATCTCCTTTTCTGGTCGCTCTTCGATGACGATATGGTCTCCACTCGGAATGCTGAAATCGATGGAGGTTCGTGGTGCTGCCACGTAAAAAGGCACGCCGTGGTGTTTCGCGACAATCGCAATCTGTCGGTAAAAGTAAGATAAAGTTAAGAGATTCGTAATTATATTCCAAGCTCATCGTAATCGTTCCCTCTAACTTTCATCTGCTATGAAGAGGAATGAAAGCGCTCAACGTTATCTGCCGATTCAAGTCGAGCACGAACGGTTGACTCTAACGGTGTTTACCGTGTTTCAAAAATAGACACGATACCTGATAAGTTCCAATTTTGTTAGCCGTGTCTCCATTAGCAGCTACTCTGTCTGCACCAAGGACGACGGCGCTGATAGTTCTTGACTTCATTAGTGCTGCTACCATGTCATCGCATATTAATGTCCCTGGGATTTTGTCATGAACTAGCTCGTACGCGGTTAATCGTGCTCCTTGGTTATAAGGCCTTGTCTCCGTACAGTAAACATGCTCTGTAACAAGCAATTGTTGTCCTATTCCAATTTCAAAGGAATGAAATCTATAAAAATACATACACTAATGTGCGGCCAAAGTAGAAATATATCAGATCTTAACTCGTGTATTCATGAGAGAACGAAGTCGTCGGATTACAATGTAATTTGACACAAGCAATGTCTTACCAAGCTTTTTCTTCTCCTGCAAAGATCTAATGACACCCAGAGCAGTACCATATCCAGCTGTTGCAAGGCTACCCGTATTGCAATGTGTCAGTACCCTGACAAGGCCATCGCCAGCGCTATTCTTCAAGATTTCTCGTGCTCCATAGTCACCGATCATTTTATTGTCAGCGATGTCTTTCTCAAGCATGGCCTCTATTGCCCTGATAAATCTGAAAAAAGGATGAGAACACATTTTATATAACAAAAACCATATGTACGTTGTTAAAACCAGTAATATGTTCGGCAGGTCGGTACTTTGCTTTCATCTCAACAGTTGGGATAGTTTCATCTTCGCTTAGATTATTGGAAAGAGATATCAATTCCTCGGCTGCTATCTTGATATTCACAGCTGTAGGTCGGGCAGACACCAAATAATTGAGTTTTCCCTCTATTTCTTGGCGCAGAGTTTTCTTATCGTTGAATTCTTCGTTTTGGATTTCAGCTACCAGACTCAGGCAGCCAACAATAGCGATCGCTGGTGCTCCCCGGACCTAAAATATATTTAACGTATTAAAAAGCCATAAATTATTACTTCTAGCATCTAGTAATCTGCAAAACATTGAGATGCATTACATCATGCAGGTAATACACAGTGCAGCGTCATCTATGGGCATCAATAAGGTTGACAGGACTATCAGTCTAAGTAAAGAATGCCTGCATAAAAATGAAAACTAATAAATTACTGCCGCATAAAGTGACAAACATCTATAAATGTCATCCATGGAAAATACGCGTTACGAATAACACTTGATTTGCAATTTTCGATTCTCCCTGAAAAATTTAAACCATCTCATGTTTTGTATTAAAATTGCATTCATTGGACATCGAGCATCTAACGAAGGAAAAAGACAATTCTTAGTTGACACCACAATCAAATTTACTCATCGAGAAGTATGTGAGAAAAATAAGGCCTACTTTGTATAAAATATTTCTTTACTACTAAAAGGCAAATTTCCAGGTGACCTTTCCTTGATTCAATTCCACGAATTTTCCCACGCTGGCGTTAACAAATGAAAGGTTCCCGATTTTAAAAATAAACGTCCACAGGGGTCAGGTAAAAATAAAAAAGCACTCTAAATTATCGACATTCCGAGGTTTAATAAAATTACAATAAAAAATTGGAATACTTCCACTGTTTCACAGAATTATCGAGCCGTATCAGACAGCTCCATACCAGAGCACCCAGGCGATAAATTAAGCCTCGAGTTCATAAGCCTGCTCGATTACTTCCGACATATAATAACGATAACGAGCATTACATCTCGCATCACCGAACGTAAGGCAAAATCAAGCTTCCCATCCCTCAAGCACGTGACACAACTACGCCATTTTCCATACAAACGTTTTAAAAACTCGACCATAAAGTGGTCCATCGCCTTACAAACAATTTAATTAAAATCATTACCGAATACCTCCCGGTAGGGCGTCCAAAGATTCGGCATTCCTCGCATTCCAGGCATGCCTTTCGCAGAGTCGAGGAGATTCAAAAATGGCGAGCCGCCCTGCCGGCACATGGCTCGTGCTCGGATACTATTCACTGTCGTCTTTTTTTATTAGGAAGGCCCCTTTCCCGAGAATCGAATCTCCCGTTGAGTACTTATCTCATAAACTGTCAAACGACCCGAGAGTGCGGCCTCCCGGGTGCAAGGGCCGGCCTATCCTAACCTAACCTAACCCGTCGCGCCGGACGAGTTGCACGGGCGCGACGTCGTCGTACCTGCATCTTGTTGATGGCTTTCCAGCCGTCCTCCACCCCCTTCACGACGACGTACTTGGAGACGGCCGGCAGCAGCCGCTGGTCCAGGATCTCGAGCCGTCCATTGCGCCATTTGATCGCCTCCAAGCTCATCTCGCAGGATCCGCCGACTAGGTCGAAGTTGCCACGACTCGCCGCCGCCTACAAATGGCGCCCTCGTCGCGGTTCCCGCGAGAGCGCCGCCAGGCGGCTCCGCTCGTGGGCGCCTCGCAAGCGAGATGGCATGATCGATCCGTCGAGGGGGCTGAGGCAGAGGGGCTGGACGGTTACCAGGCCTTCTTTCTCCCACCTCATCTCCGGTACCGCCAAATCGCCTGCACGTGCAGAACTAAATTACACGATCTATGCGCAGGGGAGCCGACTAAACAAAATGTTTTACCAATCCCAAATACCTCGGAATTCGATTGAATTTCAATACAAAGGAGCCTGTTTCGTCTGTGGGAGGCGATAAATCGCGTGCAGAAATAAATTGCACGATCTACGTATATATATATATATATATAAACCTGAATAAAATATCTTTCAGCAATCTCAAAATACCGTCAAATTGAGAGGAGGATTATTTATTTCTTCGGGAAAGGCTCCGAATAATCATGTACATCGCGTACAGAAGTAAATTGTAAGGTCGATATAAATACGAGCCTTAGGGTAATATGATCGATCTGAAAATGATTAAATTGATGGGAGATTTTATTTCTCCGTAGGAGGCCTTGAATAATCGCATAGACTTTGTAGTCAACTTTGACTTTAGATCTTAATTGCGTAACCGTTTGAGTGTGATTTTTTAGTGCTCTTCGGGATTGCTCGTTAAGTAATGGCGGGTCCTTATCACGCGGTATATGGAGATCGATACTGGGATCAAGGAGCGTTAAATGGAAAGAATAGATCTCGAAGAGTCGCGCTGGTTACTCGGAGGGGGGAGGGCAGGACTCGGGCTGTCATTGGGTACCACAAGGAGAGGATTCTTGTATCAGTTTTCCTCCACTGATACCGGTATCTGAATCGTCATCCAAGAGTCGTTACGTAAGTCGTTGCCGCCTGGTCGAGCCGCTGCTAACTTGAGGTAGAGCAACGGAAAGGTTCTCCGGGCTGCCTATCGGGAGCACGGACTCGATAGCGCCTTATCTCGGCTCGTAACGATCGAAATTAATTAACAGATACTCGGAGACGAGAAGGAGGAACGACGTTCGTCCTTCTTTCTCCAAATTTCGGGACGCCGTTTCATGCATCGCGTCGTCGCAGGATTTTTTTTCCAGGAGTTGCGCAACGCGCAGGAGTTCCAGTTTTTCCTTGAGAATTTCTCACGGTGGGAGGAAAGTCTTCCTGCCGTCACGATGAAGACCTGTTGGCGTATTAAATTCTATTTCTACGACGGGGAGATCCCCCAGTGAAACCCTTTGAAATAAAAGCCGAATACCTCCGTCTTACGATGTCGTGCCATTTTCATTTATTTCATTGCGTTACACCTGGACATGAAGTTTCGTTAAGGGTTCCCTTTAAAAGAAGCACTGACTCGGTGTCGCATTTTCACATCTCAACCTAAGCTTAATTAATTAACTTCCTGACGGTGGCTTATTTACAGGTCGGGTGTTAAAAAATATCGGAGCCCAATCTCCTGGTAAGTGTCCTCCAAAATTAGAACGAAGACTCCGTCCGCGGGTACGACGAATAATCAGCGAGTCATTTATTTATTTCCCTGAACTAGGAGCGCGGCTCGCGCCAACTTTTGCGACTCCCTGCGCGGTGGGTCTGATATCGACATTTCTGAAAACATGCGGATGCATTGCGTAAACTAAACTTGCCTCTTGCACACATTCTCCGAGGGAAGAGTTACTCGCGAGCGCGCCGCACGACTCCTCGACGGGAGAAAAAGAATGGTCAGCGCGATGCTCGGCTGCATTCCAGGGAATCCAATTTGCAAGGGAATTCCTCGTTAGCCGACATCGAGATCTACGTTTAAATTAATCGAAGGATCCGCTCTCGGGCGACGACTCGCAAAGTAATCCTTCCCTTCATATCCTAGGTCGAGTTAGGTGTCGATTCGTGTACGCGCATAATTAAATTATATTACGTAAAGCGTGGCGTTTTTTATTAACATCGATTTAACGATATGCGACCGGTGTGCGGCGTATTTTAACAGCATATCGACAGAGACGTAAAGGATTCGAGCGAATGGCAGAAACGGAGGCTCGCGACAAGATCGTTTAAACAACTCGAAACGCCGTAGAGCCCGTGATGTATGTACTGTACAGGACACTCGATAAATAGCTACTCCGACGTTTCGCCGCGATTCGGCGGTAAGTAACTTAGAATTTCAAAGGCGAGACACATGTACGACTCCTGCGAATTACTTCGTATTTCTTTTGCCCACACTGCGGGGATTACGCAACGCCTTCCACGTACGCATATAGGAGGTTATGTGAATTCTTAGCGCTTCGGCGATGCAGGAGGAACGAAAATCGGATCATCTACGGCGTGATTGTCGCACATTGTTTATGCACCGTGAAGACGTTAAGGTGAAGTGAAACCCCTTTCAAATCAGTCGATTCGAATACAATACTATTTTTTAAGGGTATCCGACCAAACTGTCCGAAACTGACACATCACTCCTGATCGTCTAAAAATTGTCCTGACACGTTCAAAATTTGGATTTTTTTACAATTTTTTAAATCAGCCCAGACCAGAACCAAAATGGCGTCGAGCTCTCATATTTCGATGAATATACAATTATCGAAGGCTCTGATATGAGAATCGAAAGGGTCAGGACAATTTTACGACAATTTAGAACACTTTGGTAATCGATAAACTCGCATTTGAACGGGATGAAGGCAAAAAAAGTGTTGTATGCGCTTCTATGCCAAAACGATGGGAATACGAGGTCTCGGAGTGAAAATTTAATTGACCTGAAAATCACAGATGGCGCAGGGGGTTCCTCTGCAGTCAATTATTGTACGAAAACGACAGGTAGAGTATGTTATTTGGTACAATACCCAATATAATTCGATATAACTGTCAATATAAAAACGAACGTCGGCAACGTAGGCGTTTAGAAAAATCTTCTGTATCGACGTTGATCAAGTTCCTCGACGTGTTTCACTTCACCTTAGGTCGGACGAATGAACGGGGAAGCCATTTTCTACGTACCACGCTGCAGGGTATTTCGTTAGAAAATTAAGTACGCTGTTAAGGTAGCGGGGGAGAGGCGAGGAAGTTTCCCGGAACTTTTATCTAAGCTCGGTCTAACCGAAAGGAAAATGGGAACAATGTTTATTAGGCTGTACGGGAAAAATAACAAGGCGGATCTACCGTCGTGGAAACCCTCTAATAAGAGTCCAATCATGAGAGTGGAGCCAATTTATCGCCGCCGTATTCCGACGACAAACTAATCCCGATACCAATTTTCAGAGCGTACCTACCTGCGTCATTAACGGCCACATATCGGAGCGGTATAAATAATTAGCGAATCAACGCATAGGAAATTTCACATCTCGACGGATAACTTCGACCTCGTGGCCTGAAAAGTCATGGACAAAAATTGCGGCGAAAGGACGTTACGAGCTACGGTGGGAACCGATCGACGGATCGATCCTTTGCAGCGATCGATAAATCATTTAAACACTGGAAAACCACAGGTGTGCCGTTTATATTTACGAATATAGTCACACGTAACACAAATACGCCATTGACAATACTTCATTCCTACTGGCGAGCATCTGTCTGCGATCCGTTCGAAATCTACCCCGAGTCGTTCCCACCTCAAATTTCTCAAAATTCACTATTTCCGGCGGCGAAAGCAATCTTACAACTGGACCCTTATAAGAAAGTCTCCATAGGGATGGAATCGATCACGGATCGAGGTACTTAACCCCCGAAAAGTGTTTGAAAAAAAAAAGGGAAAAAAAATCGGGGCCGAAAACTAGTCCAATTTTTTTTTAACGAGTCCGAGACGCAAACCCCTTGGGACTCTGCGTTTCCAAAGAACTAGGATTTTCCTCGAAGATCCGGAAGAAACGCTCGATCGGATCCCATCCCTAGCCTCTACATTTGGGTGGTCTTCCTTGCTTCGTCAACGTTCGTTTAACCCTAAGTCTTGGCCATCAGCGACCGCGTCCCTCGCGAACGGGGCGGACGTACACAAATTCACATAGACTTTAATTAAATATATCTATATACATTATAGGTACATCGGTAGTACATTCATCGTAATAACTGTACAGCAGCGGCACTCCCAATACTGTTCACAAAAATACATCATATAAACGAAGATTCGTTACGCAACCGGGCGTCGCGGCGTCGGCGCCGACTAGCTCGCTCGAGCCGGTATCTGCGTTTATTGGCCGGCCGATAAGCCGCGGAATCGCCGCGAGACGCGCGCGGAAACCGCGCGCGCGAGATGCGAGTCGAGAGACAGCGTTAAGTCGGATTACATCTGCAATATGTCGCCCGGGAAGGCGAGGCCTCGCGGGCTCCTTTAAGTACCATCGAGAGACACGAGAGTGACATTCTGATATCGATATTTATAATTACATCAAGTGCGCTGAGAACCGATGTCGAGAGCCTCCAATCGTGGAGTCGCGGCCCTCGCGACGAAGAAGCCTCGTCGGCGGAAAGTTCCGCAAAAAAATGCGAAAGTCCACCGGAAGAGGAAAAAATTAATAAATATTAAACCACTTCCGTTAAAGACCCCGCCAAATGAATGACAACTGCCCGTTTAATTCCTTGATCCACCCAACCGAGTGAGGTCGCGTTCGATCGATAACCAGGGGATCGGATTTGTTAAATCGACATTTCGAGACGCGGTAAAATTAACCGGCCACGTAACCTTTTCGGTGGGCGGACGAGACATCCGAGAATCTTTTTTCGGAGTTCTCCAAACCGAATACTTCGTGGGTGTCCGCGTGGAATATAATTTATATGAATATCCCGAATAGAGGGTCCGCTTCCCTACCACTTCGTTATCACGGGGAGCATTTTTGTATAAATATATTCCCGTAGGAATAAACACAGCCCTCGTGATAAGGAGGCTGCGAGGGGTATCGGTCGAATAGGAGAGATGAGAAATTCCCAGAGACGAGGTTTCGTTCTTCTTCGCCGCGACAACCGTTATCGCCTTGTACCCAGAAAATGACT